TCAGCTTTCATATGCATATATTGTATTCATTCTATCTATTATAGTTTTCGAGTAAATCAATGGAATGTGAAAACACTGCTTTTTTTTATGTTTCGCAATAACTGCTTTTTCAACCATTTTCTCAACTTTGAACACGAATTACAGCCGAACAGCTAAAACCACAGGAATATATCTATACTTGCTAGATTCCCCAAACATTCAGCTTTCATATGCATATTTTGGATTCATTCTATCTATTATACATAGTTTTCGAGTAAATCAATCAACTGTGAAAACACAGCTTTTTCAAACGTTCTAATTTCAATTTCTCAATTTTGAACGCGTATTACAGCAATATGGTTCAGAGCACAGGAATGTATCTATACTTTAGCAGATATTTAGAAAATTGCTCACTGCTACTAATATTCGCGCCTCCCCTTAGACTAGTCCACGCCTCCTCTTGGAGGCGCGCCTCACAGTTTGGAAAACGCTGCATTAATATATTTCTTAAGAAAATCTTAAGTTATGTTGATCAATTTGATCGACTGATTTATTAAATGACTTTTATAGATGGCATTTGAAGTGTATTTTGTTTTCAATCCATGTGTCATTTGTTTGAGTTATATATCTTTTGTTTTTTTTGTGTGTGTGTGTGTGTTACGGTGTAATTGCTGGAAATGTAGGTGTTAAAGAGGGCTTGGAATAAAAAAAAAAGTGGATGCTATGATCGATTTTGCTTTCACGTTCTGTTCAAGTTGGCACTAATTCGAAGAGTGGTTTGGTTTCGGAGCCTTCATTTGTTTGCGCTGCCACCGTTGATGGTGCAGTTGCACAACAGTTGGCAATAACATTTTACGTAGATAGATGTGAGTGTACGTACACTAGATATACATAGAGTTCGCAGTAGATTCATAATGAACGAGATTAACGAACAGTGGCAGTTCAGCCGGTAATGATGTAACGCGTGATAAAAGTTTAATGCCAGAGATCATATGTGTATAGGGAGGGGGGTGGTAGAGTGAGCGAGCGAGAGAAATGTTGCATGCACATTGCAGCAACAACAACATTTCGAATTAACACCGAAATTCAAAAGTATATTGATGTTCATACAAATGCATTTAAATAACGCATTAGCGGCGCCCGTCCGGCGTTTTTGTTTTAACCCCCTCGCAACCCTCTCTCACCCACCTACCACTTCAAAAACAAAACACAAAAAAAAAGAACTGTTGGAATAGAGTGGCTCATGAAATTTGGACGAGGCGCGCCGCGGATTCGGGAAAAACCGCGCCGCGGTATTTTTCCATTTCAACTTTAATTATGCACCATCTTCTGAATAATTGATCGCAAACTCAATGCTTCGAATCGGACACAACACTTCCCATCTTTTACACACAAAAAAAACCAGAACAATTGAAACCGATATCGGACACATTCCATCTTCGATCAAAGAAATACAAGCGTTTGTTATTATGGGGTGGTGGTGGATGGATGTGGGGTTTTAGGAATTTACACGGAAGCGACGTAAATGATTTAGGTCGGCAGTATTAGGTATCCCCGGGAATTCCGGCGCGGTAATCCCTGGCACCTGCTTGCTTGCCTTGTCCTAAATTAGTCCCGGTGCAATAAATCCCTGATAATTGGCTCCTCGGCCACCGCATAAACCATAAGCCTCAGATTTCCTTTTGCCTCCTTCTCTCCTCTCTCTGTTTTCCAGTGTTACCACCACAACAGCAACGACGCACATGCATCATCCTCATCCGCCGAAAAGGAGACCGAAATCGCGCGATAAATATCGCGGCTACAACGTTTCATTACAAAATGAGTTTCCTTCCTTCATTTAATCTTAAGATAATTGAGAAAAACTTTACAATTTAGTGGAAGATGTTGATTAATTTGTTCAGATTTAATTAATTAAATATCTTCAGTTATGAATGAAGCATGAGAAATGTAAATGTTATGAGTAATATAGATAAGTTGAAACTATCTTAATTGCTTTAGATTACATCTGGTAATCGAGCGCCTAGTCACTAATCCTCAGACGTTGTTTTGTTAAGCTGCGAAGGGAGAGAGACCACGTCGCTTTTGCATGAGAATGAAAGCGAAGGACCTTTTCGTCTTTCTCTCGTAGAAGAATGGGAAAAAAACCTTTAGTTTTCCCTCCGGTCAATTCACAAACGCTGTTTGCAGATCGGCTCGAGAGTCGCGCGCGATAAAGCCGCCGCAGCCGCCGCCCCCCAATTCCGAGCACAAAAATCCTGCCACGTGTCGGCCACGTGGATCGTTTAGATGCAATCACGAAAAAGATTAAAAACATTAATAATACTTATACGAATTTCCATTAATTTCATTTCAAAATCTGCTCTCTTGTTGCTGTTTTGTTATTTCTTAGTTTAGGGAGAGACGCGCGTAATTCGATTTCGGTCGATCGACGTAAGATCGAAATTCAATTATCGTCTGCGAAATTTTTTAAGTTAACCAAATGTAAATTTTTAAAACTCACTTGTTTCGTGACGGAATCGATGAGTCTGACGAAGATGTCCTGCTCCTGTCGTACGCCTAGAAAAGAAAAACAAAAACGAAATGGTTAAAACAAATGGTTGTTGTTATGCGTTTGTTTGTTGTTGTTGTTGTTGTTTTTGTTTGTTATGTAACGCGGTAGTTACGTGCGCGCTGTCGCTGGATCATTAAAATGATAATGGTAAAGTTTACGGCCACGTCAAACTATTTCGTGAGGGCAGATAGGGGGCGGCAGCAGTCTGCAGACACCGTATATAATCGCAGTGGCCGTCGATAAGGTTTCGGATCGGGGGTGGCGGAGGCGGCGATAGCGGAACAAAAGAGCGAGGGTAACTGCCACAGCCGCCTCCTCCTCCTACTTCTCTTACCCTCTCGCGCCATCTTCTTCTTCATCCTGCGGGTCCTGCGAGAGCATTTGCGGAGTTATTTTATTACAAATAAGGAGAGGAAGAGTGCCCCTGTGGGAAACCTCCCGAGACTGACTGAGGTGTTCTATGCTAAATGAGATATTGCACCACTTCATCGCCGCCACCTCGATCCTTGCTTGCTCACTCACTCTTTCATTCATTCATTCACTCTCTCTCTATTTTACCAAACCCCTATTTCAACCGTCTCCACGAAAATCCTTTCCCTTTTCTTCTCGTCGCCATCAATTCCATCCTCCTTCGCGTTTTCCTCTTCGCCCTCCCGAACATAAAACCAATTTGCTTAAACACGCCGTGTCCCCGAAAATATCCGCAGAAACCCTTACAACCCTTGTTCAACTTTGGGATATGCAAATTTCCACAACAAGATCACCGAAAAAAGAAAATCAACAACAGGAAAATGTAGATGAAGAAAAGCAATCTTGAAACGTGCACGAATCCAAAGAACCTGATTTTATGACCACACATAATAGTAACACACAACCGGATTAGATTTATTATGAAATTGATGGAAAAATTTATGAAAAACACATTTGAAAAGTTAATTCAATTTGATATGATTGTATAACAAGAATAGCGCAATCTAAAGATAAAAAAAATGTTTAACAAGTTAATAGTTGTTAATTCCAAAAGAGCGATTTTGCAAAACGAGAGCGATTAAGAGGAAAAAAAACGGAACGTTACCAAAAACGAAACACTGCACGACTAATTGCAAAAGTAATGGGAGTGAAGGAAAAAATCTAAGCTATAAACCAAAAAAATAATCGAATCAAGTTTACGTAATCAATGCGACTTTTTGTGTGTGTAGTTATAAAATCTTGTGTAAAAATCTCGTTTGAGAACTAATTAGTTTGTTTTCGGTTTTAATCGAGCGGCAATTAAAGGCAAGATTCGTTTGTGCAGACCAAAAGCGTTGAATGCGTTTGGAAAGTGGATCGAAATTGAAAGAAGATGTTGGATGTGTTCGAGATGCTTTCGCTTTTGGGGATCTTAGTTTGTTTCTTGTAACTCTCTACTGTTTTTTGTTGTTGTTTTGTTTTTTTTGTTTTATGTACGTTTAGATGTTTCTTTTTTTAGTGAAGGTAGGATTAGTTTAGAAAAAGGTAGTTAGTGGCTGCGTTTACGGCTCTTCTCTTCGCCGCGGAATTTCTATTCGTTTCTATTGCGTCCGTTTTGCGCCTCGCGTTGTTGGTTGGATGGATGGATGGATGATGGTGGAATGATGAAGAGTAAGAAGGAGTAGTAGTAGAAACGGATGGGTTCTCTCGTATGGAAGACACCGTGCGTTCGCCTAATTTGGCTGATCTGATTGACTGGTCGGATTAATTATAGATCTAATTAAAAGCAGCGTCTGCGGCCGCTGAAGACACCACCAGCAAGCTGAAGAAGCAGAAGCGAGAGATGAATATGGGGGAGAGAGAAGTGGATACGTTCGGTATTTGTAATTCTTGAGACGTGCGATGCCGCGACGGACCCGACCCGTCCCGTCCCGTTCCTTCCTTATATGCGCACCCTCTTCTTCTGGTGATGATGCTCTTCGCTGCTTACCGCAAGCAAGTAGCCGCTCTCTCTACTTGCCCAGAGCAAAGTGTAAATGCCCGTTTTTCAGCCCAAATGTAAAAGGCAATCGGGACGGCCGGCATTCGATAGAAGTAATTGTCAATTGATAAACCGTCCACTAAAACTAATTAATTAATTACAGAGACTGGATCGGCCTTACGCGCGCACTCTTCATCTCTCCTTCCTCTCATCATCATCATCATCAACAACATCAACATCCATTAAGTGGAGAGACCGAACGAAAACGGACTACGAACAAACCACGACTTGAATAACAATTTTCGTTTAATTATTATTTTATAAGCTGCGAATTCTCCCTTCTCTTTACTCTCTTCAACTCTCCACAGATACACACACTCATCCATACACACAGACAGAGTAGCTTTGTAGCCGCAAGACAGAGGAACAAACCTTGCGGCTTTTCTCAGTTTCGGACTTTCGGGAATCTCCCGAGAAAGGGAGACCGACACAAACATCTTCGGCCGCAGAACCTTCACGGAACTTCCTTCATTAAACTTGCATACCGCACGGCCCACACCGCCGCCCCCAAAGGCAATTTTCTTCGCGCAACAAACACTCACCGTTTGCATACAGCAGCTGCAATCTGTATTGGATCCCGTTATTCGTCTTCTGACCGTCGGCTTCCTGAAAACAAAACAAAGCACACAGAATTAGCATTTATTTTAATTAAAATCCAACTGTCATAAAAGAAACGTTACTATTTCATTACTAAATAACTTTTAATTGAAACAACATAAATTATTTTTTTCTTTCATTATTAGTTTACTAAATTATTGAAATTATATATAAATAAATAAAAATTAATAAATTAATCCACGATATAACTAATTTACAATCAATTATATTATTAATTAATGTTCAATATTTCTATTAATTAAAGCAATTTTTTAACAAAATAACTTGATGATTCATCAAAACATTACTTTTTAATTAAATTTCAATGTTTTTATTGTATAATGGTAATATAATAACTAATATAACCTAAAAATTAAAGAAATTATTGCACAGTTAAATAGTAACGTTTCTTTTATGACATTTTGAATATATAATTTATTTAAATTAAAAGAAAAACAAAGAAAATGTCGAAATGATATAAATATATATATATATCAGTAATTCGTTAGGTGATATGTATCAATTTTATTTTTAAAGTTTGATAAATAAATATTTTCTATAACTATTTTATTAAAATTGTCATAAAAGAAACGTTACTATTTCATTACTAAATAACTTTTAATTGAAACAACATAAATCAATTTTTCATTCATAATTAGTTTAATAAATCATTGAAATTATATACAGATAAATAAAAATTAATAAATTAATCCACGATATAACTAATTCACAATCAATTATATTATTAATTATTGTTCAATATTTCTTCTAATAAAAGCAATTTTTGAACAAAATAACTTGATGATTCATCAAAACATTACTTTTTAATTAAATTTGAATTTTTCCATTATATAATGGTTAAATGAAAATTAATTTAACCTAAAAATTATAGAAATTATAAAAAAAGTAAATGGTAACGTTTCTTTTATGACATTTTGAATAAATAATTTATTTAACTTAACCGTTACTATTTGATTATTATTATTTCTTTGACTGTTAATTCCTAATTAAATTTGAATGTTTCTATTGTATAATGGTAACATAACAATTAATATAACCTAAAAATTAAGGAAATTATAGCTAAATTAAATAGTAACGTTTCTTTTATGACACATCACAAAAAAAATAAAATAAAAACTTCTTAATAAGTTTTACGAACATCGTTTATCATTTAATTACGAAAAGTACTTTCAGCTCGAGTTTAAATCTATCAAATTAATGAGCTTCGAACGTAATTTACAAAGTACAAGTACTTAAGACATAATACTTGACACTAATTCAATGAGACAGAAATCTTTTTGTAATCAATTTCATCGTTGTTGTTTTTTTTTTCTTACATTCAAATTATTATTTCAATTCAATAATTAAAACAGTTAATTGGATAATAACAGTTCGATTCAATCGTCGCAGAATTACAATGAAAATTATTTCGCGCAATTTTTAGCGCAAATCGATCGGATCGAAATTAACGCTAATTGCCCGAAGCTAATTAACTGTTTCGACCATTTACTTACACACTCGACCTCATTTGTTTTCTTTTTTTTGTTTTGTTTTGTTTCGTGCACAGCCACCCTCGCAAAATGAATCTCTCGTCGTTCTTTTTTTTTTCAAGTTATATAATTCACGCGGCCGCCTCCGTTTCGCTTACATAATTCACCCTCGCTTTCATTCTCTCTCTCTCTGTTTCTCTGCGTGTGTATTTACGTTTTTTGTTTTTTTTTGTTTGTTAGAGAGAGAGAGAAAGATAGATTTGATGAAGCGGACGCAAATTGCTTTACAGCTCGAAATTTACGTTACAAATTCGCGATAAATGCTACGAAACTAATTTAATAGATGGCGGTGGATGTAAACGGAACGCGACATTATGCAATGATAAGATTGCATGCGTGTGCATCTCGATATTAAAGTAATTGCGGTTCGTTTTTGTTTTTTGTGTGTGTGTTTTTTTTTTTGCTGTTTCATTATCAGATGAGAGAAGCGCACTTCGCGTAATTGAAAAAAAAAAACCGGTGCGCGCTTTCCAATTAGCGTATTCTCTTGACTAATAATAATAATTATTATTACCTGATCTTTTTCGATGAATCCGATGAAGGCCGTCCTCTCGATCTCGACTGGTTGTCCGGCCCTGTCGTAGAGGGCTATGACGAAATGGAAGAAGTTTGATTTTCGGAGATTCGATGGAGGCTGTTTTTCGAAGTGTGCCCTGCCCACGCCGATTCTAGAAAACAAAACAAAAGTAAAGAAACAAATTAGCATCGATAAACAAATGAAGTAATGAAGAGGGGGTTGAAACAAAAAGAGCGTGAATTTCGTTATTAATTGGTGCGCTGTCAACGGGCGTCGCTCCGCAGGTCATCACTCAAAAAGGCCTAATGATAACGACGTAATGTTCTGCTCTACATCCGAACACGTATGTATGCATGAACACCAATTTCACGTTTTGCCCGTGACATTAAGTAGTCCCCGACATTCGTTTCATTACCAGAGAGAAAAAAAAATGAACACGAACAAAACAAAAGAAGAAAAAAAACGCGCACTAGATTATCATTCGCTTTCCATGCGTTAGGCTTACGTAGTATGAATGAGTGGGTACTAAGTAATTGTCTTCGGTTATCGCATGAAATCAAGTAATTATCGAATGCTCACAAGCCCTATTACCGGCCATTCCGCCGCTGGGCTCACTCGGATCACTTAAATTAATATATCTCTCCCTTCCACGCTCGTATCAACAATCATTACGTACAAACACACACACACACATCCACATATTACGTATGCATTCTATTAATCTTTTCTCGCAGTCGATTGCATATCAAATTTATTACGTAATAAACGCGCGCCATCTGGTGCACTTCAACGACCCCAAAAAGCCATTCAACCCCGATTACGCGCAGACCGCGAGAAGAGGAGATCCGTCGCGAAGACATGCTGTTACCATTTAGAGATCTTCTGGTAACGACGCCGCCGCCGCCTTCTCAGACCACTTCAACTTCGCTTCCAGATCCCCATTTCCCTGCTAATTTATATTCGTCACTTCTTTACGCAATCGCACGGATCTTTCATCTTCGCCGCTTTCAATGCACCAATTAATTATCTTCTGCAAGCTTTAATCAATTACTGCATGAAACGTGTTTAAAATACCACACGTAATCCATTGATTTAAGAAGACGCCATCTGTTATTCATTTAATGAAACAATTATTGTATTGGTGACCATAATCAATTTCACATAAAACGAATTAAAAAAATCATAACAACGAATTGTTTTATAAGTCAAAGCCACTTACTTACTATATAATCAAATACGCCATCTAAAGGACAATTATATAATTATTTAAATTTCGAATGAAATTGAAAAAACATGTGATTACATTTTAATTAATATCTCAAAAACCGATGCACGTATTTGAGTATATGAAAACGCTAATTAATCTTAATACATTGAACTATAATATAGTTATTTAGTTTGCGAGAAAACTTCTTTGGATTTTTAATAAGAGATATTTAAATATAGACGTTTTTGTGACTATTAATTAACATTTACAAGTGATAACATTTTGTTGTATTTCTCAAAAACTTGTAATCTTATTTCAATAAAACAAATTGTTAATTCATCTTGAAATAGTAAACTATAATATAGATAATTAGTTTATTGAAAAAACCTTTTCTAATTTTCAAATATTGATGAATTTATTTGTGATGTTTGAGTCACATTTACAAGTGGTAACATTTCATTGAATTTCAAATAAAACAAATTAAAAAAA